GCTCTGAAGCGGCATGAAGGAAGGCAACGGGATACCACCTTCATTATATTTCCCAAGACAATCACAAAAAAATTCAACTTAAAATTATCCGGAGGTATAAATAGTTCCCCAATCGGATCTCCGGGGGGAGCGGTCTTGCAATGGTCTTGGGCGAATGTTTTAAATGTACGAGCAAACTTAAGAAAGACATTACAGATAGACACCTGAAATACACGCAGCTTATTCGAAGCCGAGAATCTGACTAACCTAACTCAAGAAATGAGCAGATTTGATCTAGATATCCTCGGGATCTCAGAAACCTGGTGGCCTGGATCCGGTAAATGCACTACAGAAAGCGGAACATTCTTTTACTCAGGCAATGATGACCGCGATCATAGAAAAGGCGTCGGGATTATGATAACTAAAAGATTGGTGAGAGTTGTGAAGAGTGAAGCGAAGCCAAATAATCTTAACATCATACAGGTTTATGTACCAACTACAGACGCATCAGATTAAGTAGTGGAAAACTTTTATAGTGAAATCAAAGAACTACTTAAATTGACAAAAAAACATGATGTCAACATAATTATGGGAGATTTTAATTCCAAAAATAGGGAAGGGCAGCTTTGAAGACGTAGTTGGACCCTATGGTCTTGGAACAAGGAACGAAAGGGGCGACCGACTTATACAATTTTGTTAAGAAGAAAACATGAAAGTTAACAACACATGGTTCCAACTCCACCCCCGTCGCCTTTATACTTGGAAATCTCCAGCCGATAGAGCTCAGAACATAATAAGAAATCAGATAGACTTCATTCTTATCAACGGTAGTTTCAGCACAACTGTCAAAAGAGCTTGCACATACCCTGGAGCAGATGTCCCTTCTGACCACGTACTATTAGTGGCCGTCATAAAGATCGCTCTTTCATGCAAGAACAAGCCTGAAATTCAACAACAGATAGCACTGGATAAACTGAAAGACCCAGTGATACAAGCAAAAATAAGCAATGAAATAAACGCACAAATTCAAATACTGACGACAAACACTGCCGAAGATCTAACACCAACATGGAATACGATTACAAGTGCTGTAACAGACATCATGAAAAACAACTTAGGGTACAAACGAAATAACAAGAGGCAAAAATGGATGACAGAAGAAATACTATTACTAATGGAAGAACGACAAAGACACAAGAATGACCAAGATGGCAGCAATGTGTATGAAAACATTAACAGGCAAATAAAAGCAAAAATAATAATAGCAAAAAATGAATGGCTTAAGCAACCATGTATCGATCTAGAACATTTACAGCGACAGCACGACGACCGTAATTTACATAAAAAGCTTAAGGAGACTGCTGGAATATACAGAAAACGAAGACCAACTACCATAGTTAATCAGGATAACCAGATAGTGCTGGGTGAAAAAGAGAAAAATGATATATGGGAAAATTATATCCAGGAACTCTTCCATGACGAAAGACCCATGAGTGAAGTTTATACAGACGACCAGCTGACTGGCCCTTCAATCACCAAAGAGGAGATACAAAAGGCAATATTAAATTAAAAAAACAATAGGGCACCTGGACCAGATGAAATCCCGTCAGAAATACTCAAATTACTGGATGAAAGGGGAATTTCAGCACTACACAAAATATTTAATTTAATTTATGACACTGGCTGCTATCCTCAACAGTGGTTACGCTCTACCTTTATTCCCCTGCCCAAGAAAGTCAATGCAAAAAGATGTGAGGATCAGAGACTCATTAGCCTGATGAGTCACACTTTAAAGATATTCTTAAAAATACTACATCAAGGATTATACAAAAAATGTGAATGGGACATCAGTGAATCCCAGTTCGGATTTAGGCAAGGTTTAGGAACACGAGAAGCAATAGTAGCAACACAGGTGCTGGTCCAAAATTGTTACGATCAGAGGAAGGATGTGTTCCTATGCTTTTTAGATTACCAAAAAGCGTTTGATCGTGTACAATACCGCAAGTTAATGCAGGTCCTCAAGAAAGTTGATAATAGACCAAAAAGACATAAGATGCATTGAAAACTTGTACTGGCATCAAACGGCACAGTTAAAAATAGACAATTCTATATCCAAACCCACACATATAAGAAGGGGCGTTTGACAGGGATGTGTGCTTTCCTTTCTTTTATTTAACATTCATTCGGAAGCCATATTTCAAGAGACTTTGGAGGATGTAGAGATGGGAATCAAAGTGAATGGAGTATTGATCAACAACATACGATATGCTGATCGATTTTTTTTTTTCGTTTTTACCCCCTGTGACTGGGGTTTTTAGGGGGAAGCCAGGGGTAAAAGTGGTAAAGTTTTTTGCATCTTTTTTTTTTGGGTCCCAAAATTAATATTCTCTGCAAAATTCAGTTCGTTCGTATGATTTTTTCAGGTTCAGTGGCATTTTCGTCTTCGACGACTGGAGTGATGTGGACGAAACTTCTTGTCACCTAGTTCTTGTATTCTTGATACCTAGAATGAAGTTACCTAGAGTTCGATAAAACGGAAAGAGTCCTATCAGAGCTCAATCCTTTTATAACCATACTTAAAAAAAAACGTTAAATTCATAGAACAATAGTTAGAGTTAAATACATATAATACCAATATAATATTTTGTGGCAATAAAATACCTATTTATTTAATCGTTGATTGAATAATCAACGATTTAATCCAATAATAATTATTCTTGTAATTATGGTATAAATATGGCTAACAGTTTGCCATATGGCGCCCTCTATCAATGACGCTAATTATCAACGGCACAAAGCTTAGTATTCTACCCACTCTGTTGTATAGAAATGAGTCAAGAAAGACTATAATTATTTCAGTATTTGTATAAAAGATGGGGAGTGTGTAAGTTCGGTGTATCTTTTTTCTATTTTGTTTTAATTTGGGGTGTTTTGATATTGAAACAAGCCTGTTCTCATTCAATGATTTTCAAGCACTTAGGACTTTTGTAATTCGCCTAGAAAATATTTATTATAATAAAATAGTTCACGAAATTTCATTAAAATTGTTTCCATAGATTTCGCATAATAATTTTGCATTTTATTTTTTTTTTTAATTTGAAATTTAAAATTTTAAATCTTACTTGTGTAAAATATAACTATAGGTATAGTGTGCCAATTCTTTTGCTTATAAAAGAGCATAGCTATAAGTAGTCTAAACCGCATGTTGAGTTCGTTGGATTTTGAAGTATCTCTAAAGTGCCTTGTTATTTTTCATTCCTTCCATGGCTAATATATAATCTCATCTTCTGTTATTTCCTCAATATCTTCTGATCCGTGTTTTAAAATTTTCTCACACATAATTTTTGTTACCTGCTTATCTAACGAATAAAGTCTCTGTGTAGAACCTTAAGACTTATATTTTCTTCTATTGCATTTTTAATCTCAATCGTATTGTGCTGTCTTTTGTGTTTTCTATTATATTCCATCATTTTTCTATTTACTAATTTGAATTCCTGCGTGACTTTATCCAGCACTTATCTTATTTTTTCCATTAACTCTTTTTTTCTTTGGTTTATTTGACTTAATATTTTTTGTTTGGGACAATATTTTTCTGTTGCATTTTTAATACTGACTTCCCGATTTGCAGCAATAGTATCCAGGGGCATATCTTTATCATAGTTCAGAGTCCTTTTTATTTCTTAATGATATTATGCTATATTTTCTGGGTTTGTCCAATTCACAGTTATTTCTTTAAGAATCATGCTAATTCGTTTTTTGATGTAAATCTCCTCTTTTGCTCTTACCATTCAGTGGTCACTTCTAGTAGAGATTTTATTATTTAAAACATTTACCTACATCTCAAACAATGTCTTTTCTACTACTTATTATTAAGTCCACCGCATTCTTTATACCGATTATTTACCGATTGCGAGAGGGGTTAGGCAAGGATGCGTCTTGTCTCCGACGCTTTTCAACGTGTACTCACAGGTCATATTCAGAAAAGCCTTATGGGAATAAGAATTGGTGGAGAAATCATAAATACCATGAGATTTGCAGATGGCACGGTAATTATGGCTGAGAGTATAGAAGATCTACAAACTTTACTAGATGCAATAAATAGTAAATGCATTCAAATGGGACTTGACATCGACACAGATAAGACCAAATTTATGATAGTATCAAGGAGTCCAATAAATAATGAACAACTAACTCTTGGTGGACAGCAAATAGAGAGAGTGACAAAATATAAATATCTGGGAGCTTACATCAACACAGAATTAGATCCAGATCAAGAGAGACGGGTACGAATAGAAATGCAAGGGCAGCGTTCTTAAAATTCAAACAATTGTTCTGTGACAAAAATCTGAATATTACGCTGAGACTGAGGTTTGTTGAATGTTACGTCTGGTCGCAACTATTGTACGGGGTAGAAACATGGACACTAAAAGCGCAAATAGTTAAAAAGATTGAAGCCTTTGAACTTTGGATATAGCGGAGAATGTTGAGAATCCCATGGACTGCCGGGGTCACCAATGAGGAAGTGCTGAGAAGAATGGGTCGAGTCAAAAAATTGTTGAGAACGATAAAAGTACGCAAGACTGCATACCTTGGACACATACTAAGAAATAATAAATATAGTCTTCTGCAGGTCATCATGCAGGGTAGAGTCGATGGCAAAAAGGGAATAGGTAGAAAGAGGAAGTCATGGCTGCGAAATATTCGAGACTGGACAAACATGACTGTAGACGAATTATTCCACGTTGCAACAGACAGAGAAGCTTTTAAAAATGTGGTCGCCAACCTCCGTTAATGGGGACGGCATAGGAAGAAGAAGAAGAAGCGTTCTTTATCTTTCAGTTTGGGATTACACTGGTCCATTTTCTGTTATGCTTTACAAAAAATAAAATGATATCCTTTTAAAGAGGACTCAGATAAATGAGCACGCAGACTGGCTTATAGAAATGAAGAAGAATAAAAGAGCAATATTTATTTTTACATTTATTTTAAAAATGATGTTTATATTTATTTAAATACTTATATTACAATTCAGCATCATGTTGCTTGATCCACGAAACATAGTGACTTACTCTGGTGAATACAGATGGAGCGCCTTTTGTGCCACATGGAAGAAATACCCAAGATGCTATTCCAACCAACTGTTTATCTAAAACCAAAGGACTTCCCGAGTCTCCATAACAAACACCATGATCAGCTTCAGGATTTGCGGTACATACATTTGCAAGGCTGTCGTAGGGGTTTTCTTTATCCGCTTTATTACACAATTTCACACAAGGTGAAAAAAGTTATGCTTATAAATAATTGTTATGCCAATGCTTATAAATATATGCAAATCGACCTCTTCGTTTGAGATATGGCATGTCGGAAAATACTCAAGATCCCCTGGACTGACCGAATTTTAAATAAAGGTCCTTAGAAGAATAAAGAATAACCAATAAACACCATCAAATCGTTAAAACTACAGTACTTTGGACCCATTATGCGAAATGAATACAGATATGCCGTCATATAAGTATCGTGCAGGAAAAAATATTTGAAAGGCGAGGTAAACAAAGAAGAACACTATGATGAACGCTAACATTCGTTACAGATAGGCACATTATAAAGAAGAAGAAGAAAAAGAATTGGCATGAGGCAAAAATAGCAGGAAACACCAATTTAATTCAATAAGAAAACCCTGTGAGAAAATACGTAGCTTCAAATACCGAAGAGAAGGTAAGACATATTGTAAAGACCTACAAAAAATATTTTAGAATCTTCTAAATAGAAATATTAAGAAGAAAATCTTCTTCTTCTTCTTCCTTCTTATATGTAGGCTTTAAAGTTTGTTTCTTCTTCAATATTAGCCTCCTAAATTGTTTAAATTGTCGCATCTCTTTCTTGGTCTGCCAATACTTACTGGTCTGTCTATACTCTGCCATTCTCCTAATGTGTTCTTTTCACTTCTGTTTTCATTTTGTCGCCCATCCATTTATGTCTTCTATATTGCATGCTCTTCTTATGTTTTCGCTTCTCTCCTATCTCCGTCTTCGTCCTATCCAATAGATTTTTTCCTGATATTCGTCGGAGTATTTTTGTCTCTGTTGTTTCTAGTAGTCATCTCGTTTTACATGTGTCAGGTCTTGTCTCCGCGGTGTATGTTAATATAGGTCTAATTGCTGCTTTATAGAATTTTGTTTTTGTGTCTTGTCTTAGGTATTTGTTCTTCCAGATTGTATCATTAAGAGATTCCTTTAATAAGAAAAACTAAAAATATTTAGCGTTAATTAAGTCCAATAGTGAGGCTCAACATATGATGAAGAAGTTTCGTAAATAAAACATAAAGGCCGAAGAAGAAGAATCCGAACAAGCAATGTTAGAATGAGAATGTAATCATGGCAGCCCAACAGAACAAGATGTAATGGACACTATTGAAGACTAAAAAAAACAGAAGGTGATAAAGTTTTGTGCTTTTTCAGTGCTTCAAAGTGATTTTCCAGTTTTTAATCATTTTTCATGATTTTCAAGTTTTTCGGTATTTTTCGCGTTTTCAGCATTTCTCGTGAATTTTAAGTTTTTCGGTGGATATAAAATCGATAATTTCATTTATTCAGACTGGGCAAAAATAGGACTGGCAAAAGGTAACAATAAATTAATGTCGGTACTAAAAAAAATTGAATCGTGTTTGAAAAAGATCTGTTACTTAATTAAAAAGTACTTACTTTCTTCATCTGGCATATCTGATTTTTGCCACTGTAGTAGATCAGGATAATAGTTGTTTTGAGCAGATTGTCCCCAACCGGATGCAACTACATCTCCTGTGACATTAAAGTCTTGAATTGGAAGAGCTATGGGTTGAACTCTGTCATTGTAAACCCATGGTTTGTTTATTTTAATAATGCAGATATCATGTGGATTGGCACCGCTAAAATAATGAATATTAGTCTAGTATTATTTGTTTATCTTTTAGTAACAATATTTTTATGTATACATTTTTTAACTCTTGGACAGACATACCAACTCTGTCTAAAATGTCTGATGGGTAGATTGAGTAGCTCATTGAATGACACTGCCGGTCCCAAGCACGGATAAAGGAGGAGGGTTCATAAGGTGAGGTTAGCCACCTACCTGAGGTAAAGAATCTATACTGGCTCATAGAACTGAAGATACAGCCTCGGATACCAGACGGAACTATCAGATGACACGCTCTATGACAACGAAAAAACGAATTGGTAAACGAAAACCTAAATACCTCATCACACGAATAGCGTACTGGAACATAACGTCGTGGACCGGAAGAGACCATGAGATCATAATAGAAATAAAGAAACACAATATTGACATCTGCGCAATCTCTGAAACAAAGAAAGAAGTACCTTCTGCTTGATTACATAGCCAAACGCATAAAAAAAGAAAGGAATAACACCAGCTTTCCGAGCAAATAGCAACCTAGGCAAATATAATAAAAACAACACAAGCTAAAATAAAAAACACTTATACAGTGGTGTGTACAAACTTAAATGTGGCGACTGCCCAAAAAACTTACATCGGTCAAACTGGTAGAAACTTTAATAAACGAATAGCAGAACATAAAAGGGCTTTCAATAATAGAAAAACAGATTCTACATACGCACTTCACCTTCTAGATCATAATCATTCTTTTAATGACGAATTTAAAATTGTTCATATTCAAAATAAAGGCCTTAAGTTATCTTTGTTACAATCTATGGAAATCAACAAATTAAAAAACACAGATATAATTCTGAATGACCAACTTGAGACAAACAGTTCTCCCCTCCTCAACCTATTTTATTAGAGACTATAAAGTGTAAACGCATGCCAAAAATAAATTACTTGAGAAAGACAATTTTAGGCAAAGGAGTTTAAAATAAATTTTGTGGTAGTTTGAAAATAAAGTTTTTAGTGTTTTATTGTTACAAAAAATATTTTTTATATCAGGAGACTAATTATACTCACCCAATATAATCTTCATGTACATAAACCTCGGCGATGCTTCTCTCTTGCTTATATTCACTTTCTTCACCAGCTGCGTTTATTATTCCAGCAAATATACGGGTTCCGGTAACGTTAGCTAAACAACAATGCCCTGCAGTAGCAATCCAATTATGAGAAAGGATGCTACCTCCACAATAGTGCTCGTTGTCATTCGAAGCTGCATAGGCTGGACCTTGAAGTGATAATTGGTATGGAAACTGACCTTCTTTGGCGTTTTGTCCTCCGAATATTTTATAGGATTTTAGTGGAGAACCTGAATAATTAAAGTGAGTATAAAGATATTAAAAATATTGATATTTGTGACATCTAGTTTTCGTCCAGTGGAATGAGTAGCTTCACGGAGAAGCGCAAAACTGGTCTTTATAAGAATTTGGTAGATAGAAGAAGAAAAACTATTGTGTTTAAGTTTTAGAAATTTGGAAATGACTTTATGGTCTTTATGGTATCGGTAAGCTTTAACTGGTCTTTATAAGAATGTGGTAGATAGAAGAAGAAAAAGTATTATGTTTAAGTTTTAGAAATTTGAAATGACTTTATGGTCTTTATGGTATCGGTAAGCTTTAAGGAAAGTTAAATTACAAAGAAGACGATTCTAACGTAGCAGCAGATTGTGATATGATTTAGTGAGCTGGTAACATTCCTCTTCATAGAGGCGAATAAAATGTTCCGAAAGATTTTCGCAGTTAGTACAATTAAACCTAAAGCTAAGATTAATAATATTACAAAAATTATTATTAAACTGAATAGGCTTCCGGGTTAAATTCCCGAATTTTAGAGACGGCTATCGCCGTATTCCCGTTCTCCTTCGTCAATCCTCCCGGTCCAAGGCATGCTCCTCCTCCAAACCTCTCGATTGCATCGCTCTTTCTTATTCAGTAGCATTTTTAAGGCATTTTTATTACTTTTCCAAACCAGTTTAAACCTCTTCTTTTTATTCTGTCAATGACCGTTTCTGTAGCATTCATTGTATTTCTTATAGATTCGTTGGTCTTCCTTTCTAGCCTTGATGTTATAGCACGTCTTAAATATTCCATTTCAACTGTTAACAATCTTCTCTTTAGGTCTGCGTTAACTGTCCATACTTTAAAGCCATAACAAAAAATTGATTCAATCATGGTTTGCCCTATTGCTTTTTGGTTCCTTTCAAAAATGTTGCGATCCCATCATAAGGAGTTCAGAGATTCTACAATTTTACGTCCCTGATTAATTCGGTGTTTAACTTCAGTTTCTACCAAGCCGTTTTTATCAATAAGTGCACCTAAATATTTAAATTTTTCCAATTGTTTGATTTCCACGTCCTCGTCTATCAACACTTCAAACCTTGCATCTGAATTGGTAACTAAATATTCTGTTTTCTTCATGCTGCCTTGTAATCCTTTGTCTTTTTCGTATGCCGTCCCCATTAACGGAGGTTGTTGACCACATTTCGAAAAGTTTCTCTGTCTTTTGCAACGTGGAATAATTCATCTACAGTCATGTTTGTCCAGTCTCCAATATTTCGCAGCCAACTTCCTCTTTCTACCTATTCCCTTTCTACCAACGACTCTACCCTGCATGATGACCTGCAGAAGACTATATTTATCATTTCTCAGTATATGTTCAAGGTATGCAGTCGCGTACATTTACTGTTCTCAACAATGTTTTATCTGGACCCATCCTTCTCAGCACTTCCTCATTGGTGACCCTGGCAGTCCATGGAATCCTCAACATTCTCCGGTATATCCAAAGTTTAAAGGCTTGAAGCTTCTTAACTATTTGCCCTTTAACGTCCATGTTTCTACCCCGTACAATAGTTGGAACCAGACGTAATATTCAACAAACCTCAGTCTCAGCGCAGTATTCAGATTTTTGTCACAGAACAATTGTTTGCATTTTAAGAACGCTGCCCTTGCCATTTCTATTCGTACTCTGATCTCTTGGTCTAGATCTAATTTTGTGTTGATGTAAGCTCTCATATATTTATATTTTGTCACTCTCTCTATTTGCTGTCTACCAAGGGTTAGTTGTTCATTATTTATTGGACTCCTTGATACTTCCTTATTATAAATTTGGTCTTATCTGTGTTGATGTCAAGTCCCATTTGAATGCATTCACTATTTATTGCGTCTAGTAAAGTTTGTAATTCTTCTATACTCTCAGCCATAATTACCGTGTCATCTACAAATCTCATGGTGTTTACGATTTCTCCACCAATTCTTATTCCCTCTTTTCTTTCCCATAAGGCTTTTCTGAATATAACCTGTGAGTACACGTTGAAAAGCGTCGGAGACAAGACGCATCTTTGCCTGACCCCTCTCGCAATCTGAATTGGTTTCGAAACTATATTACCGATTTATTATCAGATGTCGCTATTGCGTCCATATCGAAGCCATTTTAATGTTGCTTCTTAAACACAGAAAATATTTATTTTTCACATTGATAACGCCTATGAATAGCTGTTCTGATGGGGCCTATTAGGCCGAAATACGTATAAACTGATACATAGACGCTTTGTACGTGAAATCAAATCTTGACAGTCTTTTTCATTTTATTCGGATCTACTCTGTATAAGTACAAGAAATCAATTCGCTAAGGATTTCTACTTAGTTGAGGAGATATGTCATGGAATGCAAATTTTAGATTCCCCATGTCTCTATTAACATTTTTATCAACGTCTGCTTGCCTTGTAATTTTAAGAAGGTTCAGATTATAGCAGAAATCTGAATTCATTTCGAAACTATTTTACGGATAAATTATTTAGCTATAAGTTGAATCAGAGATAGGACCGTACTTTAAAAATATTTACGGCTACTCATATGGACAGGATAGAACAAACTTTTCTTTTTTTTTAATAGACCATCCTGTATATTTTTACATTTTTAAAGTTTTCTTTATGTTCTCGTTTTTGCAATATAAAATTTAGCAATGTTATAGGAGCTGGTTTAAAAAATAGTTAAGTTTTTTTTTTAATTCTGTAACAGAACTAACCGTCTATAGAATTGTAAAGATTTGATATCGAAAAATCCATTTATGTTCGAAAGATTTTTAATATAGTTTACTATTATCCAAAAACTGGTATATGAAAATGCAAGTAACAAAAACAATAATTATTAGGGAAATCTGGAAAAATTAATTGAAATCCTAGAAGAAAAAATGAGAGGGAGAAAAAGAGAGTAAAGTAAATTTAAAAATACTTTTAAAAACATTTAAAATAATTAAACTAATGTTATTTACTTACCATCAATGGTACACACTGTTACAGTTAATAGTAAACTTAAGGCAATTTTCATATTGAATTAGCTTGTATGAATATAATACGATTATAAAGATTATTAACTGAAAATCATGCCCTTAAATACTAAACATGTTTTATATCAATTTTAATGACGAAAATCAATTATAATTGAGAAAAAATAATAGAATTGATACATCAGATATAAGTATTAAAAAAATATCAGCATATTATCGGGGATTTTTGTATTTATATGAATCACTTTATCTAGGTTTTCCTTCGTAAAAAAATTGCGTAAAGGAGCCTATTTTATCGAGGGCTACATTAGGATCAACATATGACCATTCAATATGGTTTCAGCAAGACGGAGCTCTAGCTCATTTTCGTGAAAATGTTCGCCGTTATTTAAATCAGAGATTTGCCTAACAAGAATTCAAATTAACAACCATACCTTTGAGCAAGTCAAAGAATTTTCATATCTTGGATCGCTAGTAAACGCAATAAAGTGGTTTTTCTCTGGTGTTTTGTTTTTTCTCTAGTGTAACTGTTGATTTTCTCTTTAGTATTATCATTTTATTCTACTATTTGTTGTTTGGATCTTTTGTGCTTCCATCTATGGAAAGCGTCGTACCTCATGATCTCTCGCAAGATGTGACTGGCATGATTCTCTATTTCCGCGAACTTTGTCCTTGCTTTTTCCTTTATTATATCAGTCACTCTGCTTTGTTGTAGTTCTCTAAAGAGGAATCTTGTGTTTTCGCTTGTGTTTTCTTTTCTTATGTATTACATACAGAGTGGCCCAAAAGTCTGGAAACGGCTAATTATCTCGTAAATTACTAGACATAATTATACTAAATTTGAGATACGCGTATTTTGGGATACGCAGATTTTATATTTGTTATTTGCAATGTTGCCAGATTTTCAGTTTCTCTTATATTACTAGTAACTTTGGTTTTTCAAATGCATCACCCTGTATATTCAGTCATTATTAGAATCTCCTATTAAATACGAGTTCAACCATATATAACACTTATGATTTTATGTAGTCTGGAAGGTCTTAAATACATAAAACAGAAGTCTAGCAACGCCTAAATTTTTTCAATACATTTTTTAATACTAACTATTTTCAAATACATTAAAACGTAACAATTGATAGTTTAGAATATTTTTTAACATAGTAGTTACGTTATTAAGTGTTCAAAATGTGCTCAATTTGTGAGTTGACAGCACTCTAATCGATGGTAGAAGGCGTCTACCACATTTCTCCATGATTGTCTAGAAATTGTTCGAGATTTATTGATAATTCGTTGACTTAGCTCTGCAAGACTTGCTGGTTAAGTTTTGTAAACTGAATTTTTCAACTATCCCTAATAAAAATAATCTTTAGGATTGAAATCGGGTGAACGTGGAGGCCATTTAATTCTACCTTGTCTACCAACTATCTGACGTTAAATTTCTTTCGACAAAAAATGACCCAATTAAATAAGTAACTACTATATCTGACCATACATTTAATTTTTGTGGTCTTTGAGTATGGTTTTCACGCATTCAGTCTTCAGTGTGAATTTACGTCACACCAGTACTTTAAATTGTGTCGATTTACACTTCCACACAGTGTAAAAGTTGCTTCATCGGAAAAACATATTTTGTTAACGAAATTTTAATAATTTTCAATTTTATCCATCATTACCTCATTAAACTCTAATCTACGACCAAAGTCATCTTTACTTAATTCTTGCAATAAGTTAATTTTGTATGATTTAAATTTATTTTTACGTAATAAACGTAAGACTGAAGAATGACCTACATCATTTACTTGTGCAACCCTGCCGGGGAATGTATGTGGATCTTCAACAAAACTTTGCTTATATCTGAAATTTTGTTGTCATTGATAACTCGTTTCGGTCAACCTGATCGGTATCTATCTTTTACTTCTCCAGATTCCTCAAATCGCCTTACAGTTTTTTGTACCGTCGTATTATGAACAGGAGAACGGTTTAGAGAACGGCATTTTAGAGAAGCAATTTAAATTGCAGATCTTTTTGAACCACAACTACTGTAAATTTTAGTTCATAATTTAAATGGTAAACAAATGTCAAAATCACAGCATTCTCCATTTAAATATTTAAATTTATTAAAATATACATATTTTGCACTGTTTTATGTATTTAAGATCTTTCAGAATACATAAAACAAAGTGATCATATGGTTGAACTCGTATTGAATAGCTGAACTCGGGTGAAATTTACACTGAATGCGTGAAAACCATACTCAAAGACCACAAAAATTAAATGTATGGTCAGTTATAGTAGGTATTTATTTAATTGGGCCATTTTTTGTCGAAAGAAATTCAACGTCATATAGTGGGTGTAAATGTTCGGCGTTATTTAGATGAGATATTTCCCAAGCGATAAATTGGTAGACAATGTAGAATTGAATGGCCTCCACGTTCACCCGATCTCAATCCTAAAGATTATTTTTATTAGAGATACTTGAAAAATTCAGTTTACAAAACTTAACCAGCAAGTCTTGCATTGCTAAGGCAATGAATTATCGATAAATCTCGAATGATTAATTTCTAGACAATCATGGAGAAATGTGGTAGACGCATTCTACCATCGATTAGAGTGCTGTCAACTCACAAATGGAGCACATTTTGAACACTTAATAACGTAACTATTATGTTAAAAAATATTCTAAACTATCAATTGTTACGTTTTAATGTATTTGAAAATAGTTAGTATTAAAAAATGTATTGAAACAATTTAGGCATTGCCAGACTTCTGTTTTATGTATTTAAGACCTTCCAGACTACATAAAATCATAAGTGTTACATATTGTTGAATTCGTATTTAATAGGAGATTCCGATAATGACTGAACATACAGGGTAATGCATTTGAAAAACCAAAGTTACTAGTAATATAAGAGAAACTGAAAATCTGGCAACATTGCAAATACCAAATATGGAATCTTGGTATCACAAAATAGGCGTATCTTAAATTTTGTATAATTATGTCTGGTAATTTACGAGATAATTAGCCGTTTCCAGACTTTTGGGCTACTCTGTATATGTACCCATGCGAGAGATGCAGAATATGTTAGTATATTAAGAATTTATACTATTTATTAATTTAATTTTTGTTTGTATTCCAAGTTTGCTTTTTCTTTCTGCTAGGTCTCTTATTGATGCTCTTGCCGTGTTGGCTTGTTGTACTGTAGCGTATACATGTTTACTAAACATTAAGCCTTTGTCCATGATTACTCAGAGGTATTTTGCTTCGCTTTTCGACTCGATGGGATTTTCTTGCACAGTCACCTGTTCTTCTGGTTGTTGGTACCTACTTTAAAAAGTACAGCCTGTGTCTTTTTAGAGTTTATTGCGATTTTCCAATACATTTCTGTGTTTAGCCGCTATCGCTGTGTCGTCGGCATAGTGGCTTAGTAGTGTACCTGGTGTTCTAGGTATATCTGCTAAGTATATCGTGTACAGTAGAGGTGACAGTAGCGCTCCCTATGGCACTCTAGCCTCTGGATTCCTGAGTTCGGATAGGACTTGTCCCATCCGAATTCTGAAACTACCATTGCTCAGGTACGAAGAGATTAGTCTTGGCATTGCTCCGCTGTAACCGTATTTTCTCATTTTGTAGATCAAATCTCTATCAAAAGCTTTGTTAACATCTAGGAAGTTCCTGTAAATTGTTTATTATTAAATCCATCTGCTATATACTCTGTTAATCTGAGTACTTGCAGCTCACTGGAGTGTTCTGATCTAAAACCGAATTGGTTTTCAGGTATCTAATCTGTCTGTTTCAGCTTGGAGTCTGCTGAGTATTATTCTCTCTACAATCTTGCTGATTGCAGGTAGTAAGCTTATTGGTTTGTAGTTTTGCGGGAATGTGCAGTCTTTTCCGGGCTTTGGTAACATTATGACATGGGCCTCTTTCCATTTATTTGGGAATTTCTTGAATCTTAGTTAGTTAGTTTGAGTTTTCAGTTGTCTTTTGATTTTTTTTATGAAGTCGATGTTCTCGTCTGGGTGGTAATATAATGTACACTCTCCCTCGAGACTACTCCTCAATACCTCTGCTTTTTCTTCTGTGGTGTAGACGATTCCGTTTTCTCCATGTAATGGAGGGATTGGCTTTCTGTCATTTCTCAATGTTCTCTTGAGTCTCCAAATATTTTCCATATTTGGTCCTTGCTCCTCCATGTCTCTTAAGTATTTTCCCCTGCTTTCACTACGGTGGTGTTGTAGTGCTGTTTTAACCCCCTGTTTAGCTTATTTGGTCTATTTTTGTCTGCCTGATTCTTTGTCCTTCTTGCTGTCTGCTTTAATATCGTGAAAGACGTCACTAGCATTATACATCTTTTTGACCTCGGAATTTGTTTCTAGTCTGTATTCGGTAAGTGAAAGAGTCCAAAGATACTTCTGATGATTTTACAACAATGATTTACAACAACGTAGTTTGTACTTTACCTAAATACGTAAACCACTGATAATATTTTAATTAAATGAAATTAAATATCTTTTTTTTAATCTAAATCAACGCATCTATTTTTTTAATATAGAAAATAGCATGGCATAATTAAGTAGTTTAACTGATAAAGCTAAAAATAGTTTATGCATTAAATACAGATGTAGATAAGTCTGATAGTGAAAATTTACCCCTAATATATTTCCAGAAAGTGATGATGTAATAAAAATACTTCCTAAACCATCGAAAAAATGTTGAAAATTATCATCTTAATCCGCTAAGTGAAGTTGTAGGAGATAGTGACGTTTTAAAGTTATCGAAAGGTAGCATTTTGACTATTATACATGAACATTTGGTAATAAGAAAACTGTTTCCCAACAGTGCCGTGTTGTTTCACAACAGAGCAAAAAACAACGAATTGATGAATTGCAGCGCTGTTTGGATATGTTTAATTGGAATAAGTCCAAGTTTTTGCGCCGGTATGTCATTATGGATGAAACATGGATCCATAATTTAACTCTGGAATCAAATTGGTAGTTATCTGAGTAGACTGCACTTGGAGAAAGCAGCCCAAAGCGACCA